TTTAAGAAAAGTATAACGAAGAGGTTGAGGTTTATTAAAACGCAGAATTTGTGTCCAAAAATTAACGCCTCCAAATGACTATATTCATCCAAACGCTACTTGAGCATGTCCGGAAAAAATATTTCAAGTTTTTTATGTGATACTAAAACAATAGTAATGTTTCTTATCACAAAAATGAGGCTGTTTATTTTATATAATGACAACTAAATTCAATTTATAAATATATGACTTAACTACATGTACAATTTTGGATTCTATTCAATTGATGAAATAATCCAAACATGTTAGTTGTTCTTTGGTATATAATAAGCCTTCTTCTCCAATTCACATTTATACAATTATATCTTAGGAGTTATAAACAAACCTCCTCAAAATAATATATTTCATCGTATTTCCAACAATTTTCAATTTGATATATTTAATACACCCACATTAACATAATTCATAAAAACAAGCAAATGCTTTGCACACATGTAAATTTATTATATGCAAACGAACAGAGTACTAAGCATTATATAACAGCATGACGACATCAAATATAATCACCAGTGTTATTAACTAGTGTTATTACACTGTAAAATTTAATTTGATGCAACCCCATTAGATATTGTTAAACACTTCTTTAAATACAACATTCTGAGTCTCGTCAATGGTTTCTTTATCTTCACCACATATTAAAATTTTCAAACCACGCCGATTGGTCACCCTTGAGACTGCAACGTACAACTGTCTGTTAGTAAATACAGGTTTTTTCAACAACCCTACGCGGGACAAAGATTGATCTTGACTTTTATTTATTGTCATTGCATGTGAAGTCATTATAGGATATCGTCGTCTCTGAAATTTGAACAGCAAGGTAGCATCGGAGGGTGTCAATGACAACCTTGGAATTAACACTTGTTATTCAGCACTCACACCGGTCAAAATGTTTCCCTCCAAAACATGATCACCGAGCCTCGTTATAATAAGACGGATTCCGTTACACAACCCCATCGAATGATTAATGTTGCGCAATAGCATCACAGGAGTCTCCACCTTTAACGTTAACTCATGGTTCGATACACCAGATAATTTTATACTATTCAAGAACTCTGGTGTGTGCAATTCAGCCATTAGGTCGGTGGTAGAATCTACCTTGCCACCTTGGAAACACTGTCAGAACTAAGATAAGTTCTTGAAACTTGACCAATATTAAGAGATGCCATGTAGTCATTAACATGTGATAAGGACAACACTGCAATAGCATAACAACAGGCTCAGCTGTGATTAACTTATACGTTAATAGCATTTCCACCATCGACCCGCAAAGTGTGCATCCTATCACATTCTCTTTAACAAAATACATATCTATGAATTAAGGAAGCTCTTTAAAAATTCAAAAATTGTAGACAAAGAGCCCGTTTGGTAGCACGAAAATCGAATGATTTGCCTGATTCTGCTGAAATTTATGAAATTCTGGCTAAAGTGGCTGCATTGGATGATTTTGCTGATATAAGCAAAAAATATTTTTAAAATATATTATATCAATAAAATAAAGATAAAATTATATGTAAAAATAGCTAAAATGATCATCTACACTTTTTCTGCTAAAGCAAAAGTTACGTGTTTGGTGAAAAAGTTGGTTGATAAGCCGAAAAACAGTGGTTCCAAACGCCCTCAAAGATCAATAAAAAGCTTGCTAACTCTGTATCTCCCAAGATAAGCTTGATCAACCTCTTTGGACGATCATTCTTCAATATGGTCTTAGGATCTTTATCATGGACAACTTGTCCAATAATATCTGTTTTAAAAGTGTGTTTGAAGAAACTAAATTTTTAGGAAAATTTAACACTAATAATCCAACCTTTACTCAGTCTTCCCAAAACGGTCCCATTTATTAATAATTCAAGAAAAAACCAACCTTTCTATTCTCCCTTCCGTAAACGGTCCCAACGTATTATTTACCGGTTGTTAAAGGGTTTATTAAAAAGTAATACCGGTTAAGGTTTTAATAATACCCTTCACGCTTAACTTCTCCTTCCTTCGCACTTCATCACACCTGGCACCTGCGACTACCTTGTCTAACACCTTCTTCCTCATTTCAAATTCTGGTTCACGCAATCCGCTACTTACGTCGGTGTTTACGACGGCCACGGTGGCCCTGAAGCCTCCAGATTCGTCAATCGCCATCTCTTTACTTATATGCAACGTGAGTGAATTACTTTGATTTGTCTTTTCTCCCCAATATATATCTGTGTGTAATTACATGTGCATCGGTAAGCTAGTAGTTCGCTAGCACTTGGATATGATGGTGCTTCAAGCTTTTGATACCGTGTTTTCTCCCTTTTGATAGTTTAAGCTCAATGTTTCAACTTCATCCAGGGCTCTGAAAATTCGAGTATTCAGATGGGAGGATTTGATTTTTCTCAACTTATAAGTCTTGAATGATATCTAGCCACTTTTATATCTTATTTGTGTATTCTGTTTTGCTCAGAATTTGCCAGAGAGCAAGGGGGATTGTCAACGGATGTCATTAGAAAGGCTTTTCATGCGACAGAAGAGGATTTCATAGAATTAGTTAAGACATCTCTGCCAGTAATGCCACAGATTGCTTCAGTTGGATCTTGCTGCCTTATGGGTGCGATTTCTGATGGTCAATTGTATGTGGCTAATTTAGGGGACTCAAGAGCAGTTCTGAGAGAAAAGTTGAAGAAGTTGCAAGTGAAAAATAAAAAATTGAAAGAAGAAGTGAATTGAAACAGATGAAAATTGAAGCTGAAGAAATGTTGATTGAATACTTCAAGTGTTTAGGCAACGAGAAGAATATCGCATTGGGCTAATGTTGTCATGGCTTTTTTTTTTCTGTTGTATATTTGTTCTTCAAATGATGTTGTAGTTGGTGTTGGTTTAGTATCCACTAGTATGTATAATATATTGATGTTGTAGTTGGTGTTGGTTTAGAATTTTGTCCCCACTCTCATTAATGTTATTATCTAGATGTACCAGATAGGGAGTAATGAAATGCAGAGTACTAGTAGATGGCATTATTTGCACAAGGAGTTGCTGCATTAAACCATTTAAGATTTGTCCCATTAGATCAAGTTGAGTGAGGTTTTTCTTTTCTGTGAGCAGATTTGTCCCATTACACAGGGAGCTCCCATTTATGAGCAAAATGAACAAAAAGGTGATAGCAGATTTTTAGGACTTATATTCTCCTATAAAGTGAAAACAGTTGCTGGTGCATATTACTTGTATATTGCTGCTATAAAGTGGGACTTTTATACCAGCAAGTGAACTGATATTTACTAGTATACAACCTGTGAGTGCATATTATTACTTGTACACATGGTGCCAAGTTAATACTAGTATATCAAACACGATTATAAAAGACTTAAATAAAGAGAACAAAAAGAACAATATAGCTTGATAACAAGATGTGGTAAATACATAAACTGGCCAAAAATTACAACCACACTTTAGTGTTAAACCACAACAAAATAACCCAAAATGCATGTGGTATGTATTACCAGATCGTCAGAATGGTGCAAAATATTACAAACCCATGAAGCACAAAATCATCTACCTAAACATCATATAACAAACTGCAATGGTGCCCAAATCCTAAGTACTGATATCACAAACTGAAATTGCTGTCTAAACCGGAAGTTTGACTTAGTTGACATATGTTGGACCCTGAAGTTGATACTTCTGCCAAATTTATTGGTCCTCCTGACCGGCCTGGAACCTGAAAAAGACAATGACAACATATAAGAAACACAAATTACATACACAACCAAACTGGAGTATAATTATACATTACATGTGTATATGTGGACCCATCATTAGCAACAAATACCCCAAATCCCTCTGGCACCTGCAAAAAGAACTCATGAGTGTTAAATTAAAATACCCCAAACAACCCCAAAACCCCATAAAAAAATAGAATACCTTATTTTTATCCCCCCCTCTGCCTATTCCTCCTCGGGATCCCCTTCCTCCTCTAGATCCTCTTCCTCCTCTAATGACTCTCCCTCCTCTTCCCAGTCTACTTGGTTCGGCTGTGGCTGAATTGTGGCTAAGGGGTTCAATTGTAGGTGTATAAGCTTGAGGAGCTTTTACATCATTTCTTGGTCGACCCCTGGGTCTCTTCGGTTGAGGCTCTTTGACAATAGCCTTGTCTCTATTTGGACATCTTCTCTTATTGTGCCCTTTAATTTGACAAACACTACAGGTCATCTCCATACCATGTCTAGTAAGCTTACCACTTTTTTTAGGGTCTTCAAATGGATCTTTTTTTCTGTTCCGTCTCGGTCTGCCAGGACCAATTTTTATTGGAGGGGGATACAATGGACAGTCTATCCGTGGCCAATGCCTCTCACCTTCACAAGGGGGAATAGATCCAGAATATGCCCTTAAATAATTCTCCCTCTTATAACAGCTTTCAACAAAATCCTCTGCCTCTTGATGTAGGAAAAAAATGCACGCTATAGCATGACAACATGGTATACCCGTCATATCCCATTTTCTACATGTGCATGACCTTGATTGGAGATCCACATTGAGACTGTCTAAATTCATATTCACCTGAAAAGTGTGAAAAGTGGAAGGCAAAACATCACAGTAAGCAGCTTTAGCCTTCTCTAATTCCAATTTTGCTTGGATTCTTGGACATAGCAGTGACTGTCCATTCTCCATTTCTTGCCTTTTTAGGACCAATCTTTGCATTAATGAGGCTCTTATATCCTCTAACATGTGAATCATATGTTTCGTCCTTGCAGTTATGATGTAGCCATTAAATGTTTCAGCCATATTGTTGGTGATGGCATCACATTTTATATCAGTCTTCATAAACGCTCTACAAAAACACTTGGGGTTATAGCTTTTAAATGAATTTGCCGCCTCTGGATTCACTTCAGCCAACTCATCAAACGCCTCATTATAATCTGCCATGTTATATGCTTTAGCAATCTTCCAAAACTTCATTTTCATGTCATCCCCAGTGTTAGATTTATGCCATAAAGCAAAAATATGCCTCGCACAGTGTCTATGCTCAGCTAGAGGAAGCACTTTGGAAACCGCATTCAAGATAGCCTGCAAATTCCAAACATGTATTCATATTTCTTCAAACTGGTATTATGAATGAGAAATAAAAAAATGCAGTACTCATAATGACTTAAAACTTATGACTTAAAACTTTTATAAAAGAAATACAGTAATAATGACTTAAAACTTTTATAAAAGTAAAGAGAAAACACAAACTAAGTATGTATAGTCTGTGAGAGTGGTAAACTAGCTATGCATGTATACTCATTTAAATTGTTAAAAAAACACAAGGAAATCACTTTAATTTGTTTTACTGACTTGAAGTGTTATAATACACAAAAATAAGTACCAGTAATTCGAGTTAAAGATAAAGAGTTCAGTTTTCTTTTTTTATTGAAAACCCAATCCCCAGATGGAATTCATTATTGTAGGAAAAAGATTCAATTAAATTGCTCAGATTCCCAACTGCATTTCATAGGTCAGACATGTTAATAGAGTTCTGTGGGCTGGCACAATATACAAATCTCATAGGGGTTAAAATTGGGTACACTATCACTGCCTCTATCAACATGGTTTAAGTTTTTATGTTTTTCCTATTATTTTCTTACCTGATGCTCGTCTGAAATAATAGCTAAGTCTGCTCCTTCTTCCAAGTCGAGACACTTTTGGAGTAGCTTGAAAAACCATTCCCATGACCGGTTGTTTTCACCTTCTACGGCTGCCCATGCAATGGGATATATTTGGTCGTTACCATCTCTTCCGATAGCACATAAGAGCTGCCCACCAAGAAAAGTTTTTAGGAAGCATGCATCCACACATATCACCTTCCTACACCCTTCCTTCCACCCTTTTTGAAGCCCCTCAAAGCATGTGAACAGCCTTTGAAAAACCGGGCGACAAAGCTCGTTATTAACATCGGTGACCAATACTAATTCAGTCCCAGGACTGGAATTCTTCAGGGCTCTTAAATATCGCCCAACTTTTTTGTAGTGATCCTCCATAGACCCATGGAGCATTTTATGGGAACGATATTTGACTTTATATGCGAAGCCTCTTGAAATAATTACTTTGTATGCTCTCTTCAATGTCTCAATAATCTCTTTAGCCGGCCAGTGGGGTCTTGCTTTAAACACATCAAGAAACTGCCTTGCAACCCATGTAGACTTCAACTGCTTGTTTCTTTTCATATTTCTATGGCAATTGTGTTTCCCTACTACTGTTTTTACCACAAATGTAGCTCTTCTAGAATCCCAAGAAGAATACAACCTAAATGGACAACCATCTACACATTTTACCCCCAACCTTTGTTGTCTTTTTTTATTACTCATAGCAAAGCTCAAATTGCGACCTTGTAGAATAGCAAACTTAGCTACAGCCCTCTTAAAGTCCTCCCGAGTAGCAAATCTTTGGCCCACCTTCCACTCAAACGTTGAGAAGTCAGTATTTGAATCGACAAAAGTATCATTTTTTTTTATGGTTTCTGTTATCCGTTAAGGCTTCTTCAGCACTATCCGGTGGAGTGTCAATTTCTTCCTCAGTGTCCTCATACTCACTCAAACAACTTTCCAAATTATTCACATTGGTTCTCTGACCTTCAAGAATACCTTGCTCCGCTTCTTTTTGAAGTTGTTTTGCAATTTCAAACAACTTATTATTGCATTCTTTGACTCTGTTCTTTGCAGTTCTGTATTCGTCATCACTAACTTCTGCTTCATCATCATAGCAGTCTTCAGCTTCACCTTCTAATTCAGCAAATTCACCTTCTAATTCAGCTTCATCATCATCAATATCTGTCTGTACCTCATGATCTACAACATTGCAACCATCCAGTTGGTTTTCATTTGTGGATTCTATAGAAGTTTTTGTGTTTGGAGTTGAAGGTAACATAATCACTTGTTCTGCCTGATCAAGCCCATGCACTACATACAGATCCAGTGACCTAGCTTTCAGCACTATCTCACTCATTTCTAGTACCTCTCTATCATTATATACTCTCCTTAACCCGTTATCTAAGGGGAGACCAGGAACCAAATAATAAATTTCTTCAATGCGGGTGTAACTACCACATTTTTTTGCCAACTCCTCCAACCAAAACCAACACAATTCATCGAGATCAATGTCAAAAGACTTACACTCACCATTCAAATAAAGTAATTTATCATTTTTCTTCATAAACAAACCTCCATGCCAGAATATCAAGTTTACACGGTCCATTGCAGCCATCTACACAAAAATAAAAACATATTTAGCATTACCTTGCACCACATCACTTAGCTTTTTCAATGACACTTGTAAAACACTCTCAATATTAGTAACAGCATCATTATAAACTAAACTTACTTCTTGAAAAAATTATTATGGCAGTGTTATTTAGTCAAGTTAAATAAATATGGACTTCACTATTACTCAAAATCTGGTTTCAGTTTCCACAAAGTTTTAAAAGGCATGGGTGTGGCATTTCATCAAACACTTAAGACACACTCAATTAATGGAGCTTTACAGTTGTAGACAAAATTTGATGGACATTATAAGATGACACGTTCATGAACTTAAATGATTAAGAAACTAGCTTAACTTTCACATTTTTTGGACGTATACAATTTACTAACTGCACAGCGAGCCAAACTATTAAGAAACTATTTAGAAACGATTTCTGGAGAGTATGAATTCGAAAATTTACCTATTCTCAACGCAGTCGCACCAGTAAAACTCAGTCATCAATTCTATCCATCTTCCCGTTCTGAAACTTTCAACTTTTCTTATTACTCTGTAGACAGACTTCCGTAGACAAGTATTGGTTGAAGGTTTTTTCTTTGTTTCCGTAGACAGGTATTTCCGTAGCTTGGTATGTGTGTTGGCGTTAAAAGTTTTACCTTTTTAGCCGGTTAGAGGTCACACGGACTGTTTAGGGCAGAGAGAATCCAAAGGTTGGTTTTTTCTTGGATTATTAATAATTGGGACCGTTTTGGGAAGACCGGGTAAAGGTTGGATTATTAGTGTTAAATTTTCCTTATAAACCATAAAAATTAAAGGATTGCATTATAATCGCACCAATCCCTAATTTATCATCAATGACATCCTGAGCTTGCAATGTAGCGAAAGATATCAAGGTAAATGTCCGCAATGGAAATGGAATTTGTATTTCGAAAATAGCACTTTTCTTAAAGAAACATAGCCTGTAAGCACTCGTCGTAGTTTTAAAATACATTAAAATTTCCTCCACCATAAAATTTTTAACCGCGGAAATGTGACCTTCCCTAAAGACCCCGAAAAACTTCCCAACAAATTGATTTGGTATATGCGCATGAATTTTTGAACCCTTCATACAATAACGCATACTCATCAGTATAAACCAAAGGAGCTACAACTACACCGAAGAAACAATTCTAAATTCTACAGCTTCCTCGTCATGAAAGACGACTTTCAAAGAGGGCAGGGATGGCCTTAGAACTTTGGATGCCCTAGACGAAAAAATTTAATATTCATAAATCATACTCTGTATTAATGTGATTTCTATAACATTAAAGTTAAATATACATATTATTTTTTCAGTTTGGTCTTCTATATTTTATATCACGATCGCCGTTTAAACTCAAATCACTACTAATTAAATTGTAGTTATGATTATTTGTCTCATGCATCCTTCAGTCGTTATGATTATTTGTCTCATGCATTGTTATTTTCATCATTGCTCTCATCCTAATGAACATCTGTATATATTGGCACTCTCAACAATATTTGAGGAGTGGTCTCTCGATCTTTGGATAGTGATCCAATTTTTTATATTTTTTAATCAGATAATTTTATGAACAAAACGCTCTGAATTTATAATTTCATGTTGAATGTCTAAAATTGTATTTTTATTTCTCTATAATTACCATACATACAAATTTATAGTTAACAGAAAAATCATAAATAGATAAGTCCACAAAACGTTAAAATTTACAAATACATTTTTTAGGGAGAATCACAAATAAACAAAGTAACTAACTACTTTACTATGATCACTAAAAATTACTCCCTCCGTCTCATTTATATTGTTCCGTTTTACCTTTTCGGGAAGTCCCACTTAAATTGTCGCATACCATATTTGGCAAAGTTTGTGTGGCTTTAAATCATTCTTACTTTATTCTTACTTTATCAATTAATATCAATCACACAAACCCACTTTTCTTAATAAACGTGTCACCCTCTTCCGTCCCAATATAAATGAGACGGAGGTAGTAGATAAATAGTTGGGAAAGTTCCCGAAATAGGACTAAAACAGTTTGAAAATTCCAAAATAGGACTGCCATGTTTTTTATTCCCAAAATAGAAGTAATTACTGCCATGTTTGGAAAATACTGCCATGTTTGAAGTCTGGTACTGCCAAAACATGGCAGTAATTAGTCCTATTTTGAAAATAAAAACATGTTAGTCCTATTTTGAAATTTCCAAACCTTTTTAGTCCTATTTTGGGTAAATTCTCTAAATAGTTATATTGGATAGCACCATCTAATAATCTAAAGATTAATTTACTTTATGTATTTACCAAATTATTTGATTTATCAATATAGAAAAGCGGGATAATAAACAATATTAACCCAAGAGGAGTTCTATTCACAGCCACAAAATTATTAAACACAGCCACATTATTAAAATTTAATTAATAGTTCTTTTTAAAATATCTATAATACCCCTCTGCCTCATCCATACACACCACATTATTATTACTATAAAACTGTTAGAGATAAATTATAATTAAATATTATTTATTGATATTATCTCTTGTATTTATCCTATAGGCAGTTAGTTTTGTATTTATCCTATACGGAGTTAGTGTAGATTAGAACTCGTATTTATCCTATACGAAGTTAGTGTAGACTAGAACTCTTTACATGCAGCTATATAATGATGTACATCGTGAAGTGAAATATACAACAATTATTCCTTTCACTTCTACATGGTTTCAGAGCTAATGATCCTTTAGTTTTTTTTTTTTCTTTTCTGCCATGGCCGATCCAATCTCTTCTGGTGATTATGAGATCACCACCTCCGGCTCCAACCACACTTCCAATGACATTCATATTCCCAATACCTCCGAACCTCATAAACCGCTCATCTCGGTCAATCTTGGCAATGTCATCAAGCTTACCCCTACTAACTATATCTCTTGGCAACTACAAATAAAATCTATTCTTACTGGATATGATCTTGATGGCTTCATTACTGGGTCTCACCCATGTCCGTTGTCTACCCTTACGGTCAATGGCGCTCCTACACCCAGTCCAGCCGCTACCTCTTGGATTCGCCAAGATAAACTTCTTTTCGGAGCACTCATTGGCACGCTTACTCCTGCGGTAGTGCCTCTTATCACCCGTTCCCAGACAACCAAGGATGCTTGGGACACCCTTGCTTCGGTTTATGCTCAACCTTCTCGTGGGCATATCAAGCAATTAAAATCTCAACTCCGAAAATATACCAAAGGCTCCAAAAGTATTACTGAATACACGCAGTTTATCAAAAATGCCGCCGATGAACTAGCAATTTTGGGCAAGCCACTTGACCATGAGGATTTTATTGAATACATTCTTGATGGTCTCGATGATGGATATAAATCTGTGATTGATGCGGTTGAAGGTCGTGAAACTTGTATCACATTTACTGAGTTGCATGAAAAACTTATTAATCGTGAACTCAAGCTTCTTCAAGAATTGGATTCCTCTCCTACACCCATCACGGCCAATGTTGCTCGGGGCCCATCATCATCAGTTTCTCGTGGTCGTGGCAGCCGCCCTCCTGCTCGCAGCTCTAATCCCAGCCGCGGATCAGCACCTCCTAGTCATCAATCTCGGCCATACCTTGGAACATGTCAAGCATGTCGTACCCAAGGTCACAGTGCACGCAACTGCCCACTCTTCCGCCTGACTTCTTCTCCACAACAGGCATGGTCTACCCCCTCCAACTGGTCATCTCAAGACTCATGGCAGTCCACTCCTAGGCCACCTTGGCAATCTCCTCAGGCTCATATGGCTAGTGGCACCGGCATTCTAGGAGCTGCTCCTTCTCCACCTTGGATTTTTGACAGTGGGGCTACTCACCACCTCACATCTGATCTTGCCAACCTCTCTATGCATGTTCCTTATTCCGGGAATGACGAGGTCGTTGTTGGTAATGGTAATAGCCTTCCTATTACACATACGGGTTCGGGTAATATATCATCTCACACCCGTCAGTTTCACCTAAATAATCTTCTTTGTGTGCCCTATATTCACAAAAATCTCATTTCCGTTTCTCAATTTTGTAATCACAATAATGTATCTATTGAATTCTCACCATCTTTCTTTTGTGTCAAGGATCTCATCACGGGGGCACCCCTTCTTCACGGTCCAGTTAAAGATGGTTTATATGAATGGCCTACCTCTCCTAAACAACCAGTTCTTGCCTTTTCTGGTGTCAAAGTCACTCCTCATCAATGGCACTCTCGACTTGGTCACCCGTCTTCCAAAATTCTCCGTCATATTTTTTCTACATCACAATTACAAATAAATGATGTATCATCTTTAGCATTCAATTGTAATTCATGTCAATGCAATAAAAGTCAGAAACTCTCTTTTCATACCTCTTCTATTAAATCCTCTCGTCCATTAGAAATTATTTTTTCTGATGTTTGGACGTCTCCTGTTATGTCATTTGACCACTTTACTAAATATATATGGTTTTATCCAATGAAACATAAGTCGGATGTGTGTTCCATTTTTCTCAACTTCTGTCCCCTTGTTGAAAATAAATTTGGTCATAAAATAATCACTTTCTTTTCTGACAATGGTGGTGAATATAAAGCCTTAACTCCTCACCTCGCTAAAATTGGCATCTCTCATCTTACCTCTCCTCCCCACACCCCTGAACATAATGGCTATGCAGAACGTCGTCATCGCCACATAGTTGAAACCGGACTCACTCTATTACATCAAGCATCCTTACCTCCTGAATACTGGTCCTACGCATTGCCCACAGCTGTTTATCTTATAAACCGCTTGCCCACTCCTACTCTCAATTTTTCTTCTCCTTATGAATCTATTTATCAAACCCCACCTAATTATCATAAACTTCGAGTCTTTGGATGTCTATGCTATCCGTGGATTCGACCCTACACCAAACACAAACTTCAACCCCGCTCCACGCCTTGTATTTTTCTTGGCTATTCACTCACTCAAAGTGCCTACATCTGTCTTGATATTCTTAGCAAACGCATTTATGTTTCGAGACATGTCACATTTGTGGAAAACATTTTTCCTACTACTCAAACCACTCCACCCCACCCGGATACTCAAACCCCATGGGAACAACCTCATATTTTTCTTAGACCAAATAATTCCACCCCACCGTTTCCGCCCTACTCTCCTGCAAACCTGCCATCAAATAACTCCACTCCCCATCCAAATAATTCTACAGCTGCCACCAATTCCTATCCTTCCACATCACCCCCCCTATCCTCTTCCACTAGTCAAATTTTTGCTTCTAGCCAACCACCTCCTATTTCCGAGCCTATACACATTTCCCCAACCCCCTCCACTTCGGTCCCTAACCAATCTCCCTTGCCCACCAATATATTCTCCACCGAGTCAAATATCCAATCCGTGTCTCACTCCCCCACACGTCACCAGTCTCAAATTGACCACTTACACCGTACCCCAGATAATTCAAATCCTTCTCCCACACAGCATAACCAAAATCTGTCCCAAATGCATCGTGATTGTCACCCTTCTCCACCCCGTCGCATGGTTACTCGTTCCATGCATAATATTCGTTGCCCAGCTCAAAAACTTAATCTTACTTCCCATCTATCCCCTGTATCCCCTGAACCCCGTACTGTAAAGGAGGCTTTATCTGATTCTAACTGGCGACACGCCATGACCGAGGAGTTCAATGCACTTATTCGGAATGGTACTTGGACGTTGGTTCCTCGTACTGGCAGAGAAAATATTGTGGGGTGCAAATGGGTTTTTCGGACTAAACGTTTATCTAATGGTGATATTGACAGGTACAAAGCACGTCTTGTTGCTAAGGGATTTCACCAGCGCCCTGGGTGGATTACACCGAAACTTTCAGTCCGGTCATCAAACCCACAACAATTCGACTGGTCCTCTCTCTAGCTGTCAGTCGTGGTTGGCCCCTACGACAAATAGATGTTAATAATGCTTTTTTGCAGGGTCATCTTCAAGATGAAGTTTATATGATGCAGCCTCCCGGGTTCATTGATTCCTCCAAGCTTTCTCATGTATGCCGCCTTAACAAAGCGATTTATGGGCTGAAACAGGCACCTAGAGCATGGTATCAAGAACTGAAAACCTTTTTACTTCACCTTGGTTTTATAAACTCTAAGGCAGACACCTCATTATTTGTTTATCACCATGCTACTCATGTCATCTATATTCTTGTATATGTTGATGACATTGTCATTACTGGGAGCTCTACTTCTTCTGTTGAAACTTTAATCAGTGAACTTGGCCGCAGATTCTCTCTCAAAGATCTAGGTGTACTTTCTTTTTTTCTTGGCATAGAGGTCATTCATGACTCTACTGGTATCATTCTTTCTCAACAACGGTATATCCTAGATCTTCTTGCTCGGACTAAAATGTCTAATTGTAATGGAGTTACCACCCCACTTGCTCCAACATCTAAACTTCGTCTCACGTCGGGCAAGCCATTGACTGATCCGGAAGAATATCGGTGGGTCGTGGGTAGTCTCCAATATCTTGCCCTTACCCGGCCTGATATCTCCTATGCAGTCAATAAATTATCTCAATTTTTACATCAACCTACTGATGAGCATTGGGAAGCCACCAAGCGGGTCCTTCGGTATCTTCGTCAAACTTCCGATCATGGACTCCTTCTACGGCGGTCTTCATCCTTATCTCTTCATGCTTTTTCTGATGCTGATTGGGCCGGAAATCCTGATGACTATACTTCTACAGGTGCATTTGTTATATTTCTCGGTCCTAATGTCATTTCTTGGAGCTCTCGGAAGCAGAGGACTGTAGCTCGTTCCTCTACAGAAGCTGAATACCGCTCTGTCGCCACTACTGCGGCTGAACTTCGTTGGATCCTATCTCTTCTCTCCGAGCTGCATGTTACCATACCTACTCAACCGGTTATCTATTGTGATAATGTTGGTGCTACTCATTTATGTGCTAATCCTATTTTTCACTCTCGCATGAAACATCTTGCTTTGGACTATCACTTCATACGAGAGCATGTTCAGGCAGGCATTCTTCGGGTTACACATGTTCGTTCTGAAGATCAATTAGCTGACTCTCTCACCAAACCACTGCCTCGGGGTCGTTTTCTTCACTTAGCTTCCAAGATTGGAGTTTGCTCAAGAACCTCCAACTTGCGGGGGCATGTTAGAGATAAATTATAATTAAATATTATTTATTGATATTATCTCTTGTATTTATCCTATAGGCAGTTAGTTTTGTATTTATCCTATACGGAGTTAGTGTAGATTAGAACTCGTATTTATCCTATACGAAGTTAGTGTAGACTAGAACTCTTTACATGCAGCTATATAATGATGTACATCGTGAAGTGAAATATACAACAATTATTCCATTCACTTCTACAAAAACATCTCCGACGGGTCTTGCTTCGACAACGGTTGACTTTTTCATCTCCGGGGGTCTTCTTTTTCACCTCCGATGACTTGAATTAGGACCATACCTTCTTTTTCATCTCCGACGGGTCTTGCTTCGACAACGGTTGACTTTCTAGTGTAGTGTACTAGTGTGTGATAGAAACAGATCAACTAGAGCATATAAAGAAGCAATATTTGAAAAAATCAGTTATTGCTATTTGAATTGAAATATTGGTATATTGAAATACAACTGCGCCTAAACGAATTTCAAAGTGAATTGAAGCTATAGACATGCTGCTACTTTCACCATAAATTAGTTAAAGATATGCTGCTCTAAAGACATCAAAGGAGTTTATTAAAAGGGGGCGAAGGTCTGGACCGACACAAGCGACTGACTGAGTTTATTCGAAGGGGGTGAAAGTAAGGATTCTGTGAACTGGACAGACTCAAGCGAGTGAGCGAAGGGTGTGCCGAAGGATTACAGTTGAGGGGTAAATTTGATATTTGAAATAGTATTTTTATTAAAATTAATTTAAGTGACTGTGAATAGAAATAAAGTGGCTGTGAATAGAATTGCCCTTAACCCAATAATGCATATTCATTGATCTTTAATCATAAGCCCAATTGTCCAAAGCAGTGACTTTGATCTTTTACGGAGTGTCCCCAACATGGATTTTAATAGAGTTTATATAGATTTCCATTAAAATTCGGGTATCCTCAATATGGATTTTAAAGAATCTATTAAAATCCAGATATCCTCAAACATTCCATGGATTTATATGTTAATGGACTTTGAAAGATTTTGATGGAATTTTAAGCCAAAAAATTGAATAACTCAATCCACCAACAATCTGCCCAACACCCACCGGATTTCCAAATCCACGTACAAACCCTACGCTCTCAGTATCACTCACAATAAAGCAGACCAATAGGCTTTTGTGTTCTTCCATCTTCCAGGCTATCTCGTTCCTCCTTCATCTGTGTTCTTGATACGAACCTATATTCCAAACGGAGATGGTAGCAGACGGAACCTATACTCACAAAGTATTATTATTCTCAACACTCATCCTTCCAGTTCTTTTTTTTGTAATTGTATTACAGCTTTGCTTCGTAGGTTCAAGCTTAATGATTATAAAGTATAAGTGGGTCATTCAATTTTGTTTGCTGCCCTCCTACTAGCTTCGTTCTGTATTAGAAGCTTTTGTAATACTTCGAAGTATTATAATCTGCCACGCGATTGTATATTAAATCCATAGAATTGTATATTACTCCCTCCGTCCCGTTGGAATGTTCCCGCTTTCCTTTTTTGGATGTCCCGTTGGAAAGTTCCCCTTTCCCTAAATGGAAAGTTATCCTACATCAAAACAGTGTCAAACAGTGCAAAACAGTGTCAAACAGTGTCGAAACAGTGTCAAATAGTGTCGAAACAGTGTCAAAACAGTAAAATTTACCCCCTGGTAAGTTTATTTCCTTAATATGTGTGTAGGTCAAACCGGGAACATTCCAACGGGACGGAGGGAATATTATCTATTTAAATCCGTCAAAATCCATATCATAGTATGATATAAAATTCCATAGAATTCCATATCAATCTCATGGAATCTGTAGAATTCATTTAAAATACATAGAATCTGCAATCCTGTAAAATCCTTTATACTCCGCAGTTCATTAGTTTCATTTAAGAGTAATAATACTTATCTCAACTAATCAAGTTCTCTCTAGCAGGGAGGTCTTCAATGCGTCGTCAAGTAAATTTTCCATTTGGTGATTGGAGTCCAAGAGACGCATGACAGAATTGATCTATTATTCTCCACTCGTCAGCTACTGAGCGGCTCAACCATCGCGACTCGCAAGCTCTTAGAACAAGATGAACTTGTTTTTGGACATTAGTACGTTACTCATTAGTGATTAGGGTTAGTTTATTTGAATGTTACGTAGTAAAA